GGGCGCTGCGCGGGGTTGCCCACCCGGCTCCACCGCTGCACGCCCAGCCGGACCGCGCCAGGAGCCGCCGCTGCTGGACGCCCGGGGCCCCCTAGCACCTGCGAAGCCGCTTTCTTACTTGGCTGACTGGGGTGTCCCGGGCCAGGCCTGAATTCACAGGCACCTCCAAGCGGGCAGCCCGGGGTAAGTTCATGTCCAAACAGAACGGCGTCTGCCCTGCTTGAGCCACCGACCCTCGGAAAGGACATGATGCCTGTAAGTGGCGCGGCGCCTGCTCCCTGCTGAGTAAATGGCAGCCGGAATCATAGATCCTCCAGTGTTCTCCTCTGTCATATTACCAAAGCGTCTTAAGGACATCAGCGGTCAACAGGTTTTGTTTGTAATTTTAATTAAATGAATGAATGAACCCGCATCGGATTCCGTTAGTGTGGTTTTGCTGTTCAGCAGCACCAAAAAGACAAAAATCACGAGAACCCCGGATGGAACCCAGAGACTCTAAACCTATCCATCGCTCTATTTCATTCACATCTTCAAAAGAAACAGCATTTTCTTTTACTAATTTTCCTACTTTTTTCTATTTTAATTTCAAATTTCTTAAGTCCGTTTTCCTTCATCCTATCGTTACTTTAACAGTTTCTTGAATTAACTACATAGTTCATTTATTTTCAGTCTTCTGCGGTAATAGTCAAAATGTTAATGGCTATAAATTTTCCTCTGACTGTAGGTTTAGCTGTGTTTATTAGGGTCTTATGGGTCTTGCTATGTTGCCCGGGCTGGAGTGCATTGGCTATTCACAGGCACGATCCCACTGCTAATCAGTATGGGACCTTTGACCTGCTGTTTCCATCCTGGGCTGGTTCACCCCTCCTTAGGCAACCTGGTGGTCTTCCACTCCAGGGAGGTCACCATACTGACGTCCAACTTAGTGCAGACACCGGATGGTCATAGCAGCACTACAGCCCAGAACTCCTAGGCTCCAGCAATGCCTCCAGCCTGGGCATCCAGAGTAGCGGGGAGGCTCGCGCCACCACACAGGCCATTAGGATTTTATATGGAGTATTCTCTCTTAAAATGTTCCAGATTTTCTGTAATTTCAGTTTTTGCCATTTTCTATATTGGAGTTATAGTTTACATACAGCAAAGTGCACATATCTTAAATTTACAGCTTATATAACCACCACCAATTCAGATGTAGAACATTTCCAGCAACCAGAGTTTCTCTCAGCCCAAAGAAAATAGGTGGCCACTGCTCTTTTATCACCCTAGGTTAGTTTTTTTTTTTTTTTTTTTTTTTTTTTTTTTTTTGTT